AATCTCTAGTAACCTCAATCAGAAATGATAAAGGAGAAATAACAACAGATGCCACAGAGATACAAGAGATCATCTCTAAATACTACAAGAAACTTAATGCCCAGAAATTTGACAATGTGAAGGAAATGGATCAATATTTGGAACCACACCCTCTCCCTAGTCTTAGCCAGGAAGAAAAAGATCTCCTGAACAAACCAATTTCAAGCACTGAGATCAAAGAAACAATAAAAAAATCTCCCAACAAAAAAAAAATGCCCTAGTCCGGATGGCTTCACATCTTCAAGGAAGAGCTTATTCCCATACTGCAGAAATTATTCCAAAAAATTGAGAAGGAAGGAATTTTCCAAACACATTTTACAAAGCGAACACCACCTTGATACCAAAACCAAGAAAAGACCCAACTAAAAAGAACTTCAGTCCAATTTCACTAATAAATATAGATACAAAGTTTCTCAACAAAATCCTAGCAAATAAATTACAGCTTATCACAAAAAAAGTCATACATTATAATCAAGTAGGTTTCATCCCAGGGATGCAAGGCTGGTTTAACATACTATGCAAGTCCATAAACATTATTCACCATATCAACAGAAGCAAACACAAAGACCATATTATCCTCTCAATGGATACAGAAAAAGCATTTGATAAAATCCAACATCCTTTTCTAATTAGAACACTGAAGAGTATAGGCACATTTCTGAAACTGATCAAAGCTATCTATGACAAACCCATAGCTAATATTTTACTGAATTGAGTAAATCTGAAAGCTTTTCCACTTAGGATTGGAACCAGACAAGGTTGTCCTCTATCCCCACTACCATTCAACATAGTGCTGGAAGTTCTAGCCAATGCAATTAGGCAAGACAAGGAAATAAAGGGCATCCAAATGGGAGCAGAGGAGGTCAAACTATCCCTCTTTGCTGACGATATGATCTTATATTAAGAGAACCCCAAAGACTCAACCACAAGACTCCTGGAAGTCATCAAAAAATCCAGTAATGTCTCAGGATATAAAATCAATGTCCACAAGTCAGTAGCCTTTGTATACATTAATAACAGCCAAGATGAGAGGCTAAGTAAGGACACAACTCACACCCTTCACCATAGCTTCAAAGAAAATGAAATACCTAGGAATATACCTAACAAAAGAGATGAAAGACCGCTATAAAGAAAATTATGAAACACTAAGAAAAGAAATAGCAGAGGATATTTAAAAATGGAAGAACATAACATGCTCATGGCTGGGAAGAATCAACCTTGTTAAAATGGCTATACTTCCCAAAGCAATCTACAGATTCAATGCCATCCCTATTAAAATACCAATATTGTACTTTCAAGACTTGGAAAAATTAATTCTTCATTTTGTATGGGGCCAGAAAAAAACTCAGTGCATCTAAGGCAGTTCTTAGTAATAAAAACAAAGCCAGGGGCATCAGCATACCAGACTTTAGGCTGTACTATAGGGTCATAGTGGTCAAAACAGCATGGTACTGGCACAAAAATAGAGACATAGTTTGGAATTGAATAGAAAACCAGGAAATGAAACTAACATCTTACAGCCACCTAATCTTTGATAAACCAAACAAAAACATACACTGGGGGAAAGAATCACTGTTCATTCAATAAACAATGCTAGAAGAACTGCATATCCACATGTAAAAGACTGAAACTGGACTCACACCTTTCTCTACTCACAAAAATGGATTCAAGATGGATAAAAGACCTAAATTTAAAGCATGAAATGATAAAAATCCTCAAAGAAAGCATAGGAAAAACACTGGAAGATACTGGCCTGGGGAAAGACTTTATGAAGAAGACTTCCCTGGCAATTTCAATAACAACAAAAATAAACAAATGGGACTTAATTAAAATGAAAAGCTTCTATACAGCTAAGGAGACAACAACCAAAGCAAATAGACAACCTACACAATTGGAAAGAATATTTGCATATTTTGAATCAGACAAAAGCTTGATAACTCTAGAACTCAAATTAATCCACATGAAGAAAGTCAACAATCTCTTATATCAATGGGCAAGAGAGATGACTAGAACCTTCTCTAAAGAAGACAGACAAATGGCTAGCAAACATATGAAAAAATTTTCCTCATCCCTAATTATTAGAGACAGGCAAATCAAAACCACCATGAGATATCATCTAACCCCACTGAGAATGGCCCACATCACACAATCTCAAAACTGCAGATGCTGGCATGGATGTGGAAAGAGAGGAACACTTCGGTGTTTAGGAAAGGAACCTGTCCTCGGTGTGTGACGTATCTTTTGGGGGCAAGACAAAGAGTGCTGATGGAACTGCAAACTAATACAACCTTTTTGGAAGGAAGTATGGGGAACCCTCAAAGAACTCAAACTAGACCTTCCATTTGATCCTGCAATCCCATTACTGGTCTTTTTACCCAGAAGGAAAAAAATCTGTTTACCATAAGGACACTTGTACTAGACTGCTTATCGCAACTCAACTTAGCCAAATGTGGAAACAGCCTAAATGCCCACCAACCCCAGAATGGATTAACAAGCTGTGGTATATGTATACCACGGAATACTATTCAGCTATTTAAAAAGATGAAGACTTTACATCCTTTGTATCAACCTCGATGGAAATGAAACACATTATTCTTAGTAAAGCATCACAAGAATGGAGAAGCATGAATCCTATGTACTCAATTTTGATATGAGGACAATTAATGACCTAGTACATGGTGAGGGGTGGAAGAAGGGGTAAGTGGAGAGAGAAGGAGGGGTGGGAGAAAGAAGAAGAGAGAGAGGGAAGGAGGGAAGGGAGTGGAGAAGGGAAGAGCAGGGGGGGGGGGGTCTCAGTGTGTGACATATCTTTGGGGGGCAAGACACAATTATAAGAGGGACTATACCTAACAAAGGCAATCAGTATAACCTGGTTTCTTGTACCCTCAATGAATCCCCAACAATTAAAAAAAAAAAAAAGACAAAAAAAAATTACGTGCCTTGGGGTCTTGGTAGACATGAAAAGCCTGACTAAGGGATGTCAGATACACATGTGGCCAGGACCACCCATCACAAGCTTAATTCCACCAGTACCCGCAGGTAATAAAGTACCAGCAACAGTCCATGATGAGATAGAGTTGGTACGTCCAGCATCAATACATAGGAGCAAAAGGCACAAACGAGCTGCCTGGACAGATGGCCCAGATCCCCACAGCTCCACCACTGCTGCACCAACACTCTTTCTTTAGCTGATGACTAAAAATACAAGGGGGAAAGCAGAAGTACAAGCCCAAGCTTGGTGTGAAATGGGTCAGATGGCAAGTGGATGCAAGCCAAAAATGAATCACTACAGCTCCACTCAGCCACAGCTCTGAAAGACAGTGATGGGGAAATCTCCCCCAGTGGGCAAATTTGCAGGCGGTGTACCTGATCACCCACTTGGCATGGAAAGAGAAGTGGCCTGAAGTTAGACTACAGATGTGGGCAGAAGCAAGTGACCATGCCAGCTGGTCAGAGGCCTAGAAGAAAAAAGGTCAGAAGATCAGGGACGAGAAGTCTCAGGGTAGAGACTTGTGGGTGGACAAATGGGAGGGAGCTTGTCAAGTTCCACACCACCCATGGACTCTATCGGAGAGCAGCCACCACGGAAGATATTAAGGCACCAAGAAGACAAAACAGCTGGAGTAGTTGGTGTCAGCCAGCCTCTGTCCTCAGCCACCCCAGAGTGACAGGAGGGTCACATGAATCAAGTGGCCACAGTAGCAGAGATGGAGGCTTCACATGAGCCCAGCAGCACAGACCCCACTTACCAAGGCTAAGCTTTTTAAGCTGACTTCCGCTACTGCCAAACACCCAACCGGCCAGCTATAATGAGCCGTGCTGAGAGCCCAGAATGATACCGTTCCTTGAGAAGACCCACCAGCTAGTGGGAGATAGGGGTAAAAAGGCCATTCTAGCCTGACACAAGAGAACTTGACCAGGCCACACCATGGGTGGACACCTGCATTTGCTCCATCACACCGCCATGGTCTCGTGGCAGGTGCTGATCCCCAGTCAACACCCCATGCTCCCAGCCTGAGGCACATGTACAAACGCTCACAAGATGCCACAGTTCCTCTTCACATTAGCCAACTTTCAAAGACAAATGAGGTAGAAGTGAGGCAAGTATTTTAAATAATCAGCTACTATCTCACAATCTTTATTTCAATTACTGCTATGGTCTTACACAAGTTTTAAATAGAAATTAAGGGTTTACAGACACTACGTTTAAACATAATGCACCAAATCATAAAGTGATAATCCTAGGATTAATGAAAGTAGCTTATAAAAATAAAAGATAACAGCTTGAAAACATGAAGGAAAATAATTGCAAAAGAGTAGTTATATAAGACTCTACCAGGCTGGGCATGGTGGCTCACACCTGTAATCCTTGCACTCTGGGGCCGGGCCTGGAGGATAGCTTGACCTCGGGAGTTTGGACCAGCTTGAGCTGATCTATTTCTAAAAATAGAAAAAACTGGGCAGTGTGGTGATGCATGCCTCTAGTTTGACTACTCAGGAGGCTGAGGCAAAAGGATCTCTTGAGCCCAGGAGTTTGAATTTGCAGGAATCTATGATAATGCCACTGCACTCTACCCACCCCTAGGAAGAGACACGGCCTCACAGCAGTTTAGGAAGAGCGCTTCTCCAAGGGAATCCATAACCATTTATAATGAAAACACGAACAAATATTATAATATGTGCAGTTTCAGAATACTTAAAATAAAAAAGCACAAAACAAATATTGCCTATTTTAAATAATGAACCTTCCAAAACTCTTCAGAGTTTCCTCATTAATATTCCCCACTCCACCCCCAAAGCCCAAGTACTTTCCCTCTGCAATTATCAGTAACAGAGACTATCAGGAGATATGCGAAGAGCATTTCAATGGCGTAGTTCATTTATGGGGAAAAGAACAGCAACAACATCTGTGTACTTCTGGTTTCTCAGCATTCACAGACGCAACAACCCAAACCAGTTACCTCTTCTCCAGGGTAAATGCTGTGCCTAATCCCCGTGCGTCTCGCTTTTGCGCTGCACTTGCAGAGTGGTCCATCATTCATCTGTCAGAAACACAATGTAATTCGTTTTTATTGGAGGAAAAAAATCTACACCAGGCACGATGATGCCTTGGAAACTGTGTGGGCTTTAATGTCATGAGCACTGAAGCTCCGAAGAGGCTGTCACACTTAGAAGATTAAACGCATGTTCCAAAACCAATAAAGCTGCAAACCGTCTATATTGTCTGATAAAGGGAAACAGAGTGACGACGCGGCACCCCCAAGTTATCTGTGCAGCCGGGCAGAAAATAGCAACGTCAGCACACAGTCTGTCCCATCCTCCCCGACCACTTCTCAGTACACTTTTTCTCTCTTTCTTATTTCATTAAAAATTACGCTTTCACCAAAAAAAAGGCATATTTTATATCCTGGAGGAACATACACAATGCTTTGAAGGTGACCTGCAGATTAAATGTTTTGAAGAAAAGAAACTAAAACCTATCTCTGAAGCTGAGAAGAAAATACGTACAAGAATCAGAAAACTTTACAACACTGGTCAGGTCGGGCTATGGCTCTTTTCACCTAAATTCATTCTAGTGCCACCAACTCCACTCACATGACTCAGTAAATGAACAATTCTTGAATACCTCTCAGATACAAAGCTAAGTGCTGAGGATGGGGCCAAAAAATAGCGCAGAGTCCGTGTACTTACTCTAGAGAGGAGAATGACATACACAAGGAATGCTCAGCAATTTAAAAGGAAAAAAAAAGCACTCTGAAGGGAGGTAACAGTTAGCCTTCAAAGAGTTGAAGAGTGAAGGTCTGGACAGGCAAAGAAGATGGTTATTCCACACAAAGCATCAGCACACGTGAGAAAAACTGAGAAGGCAGAAAGCCCATGCAGTGCTCCATCCAAATAAAATGGATCATTTATTTGAGCAACAAGCCAAAAGAAGCACAACAAAGATCAAAATCTGATGGGCCTTAAAAGGCACTTTTCCTAAGATTACCGAGTATAAATGGTAATACTGAATCAAAAAGGAGAACAGAGCTTAGATGGAGAAAATGGGAAAGTGGAGTTCCATTCTCTTTGTATTAATTAAAAAATATATATGCACTACACACAGTAGAACCACCATAGTTGACCAGCTACACTGACCAGCTTCTTAATTTGACCTAATTTTCATAGGCCGGACATGCACCACATGTACATGTAAGTACCGTTCCTTATGTTGACCACCTGTGTATGCTGACCAGTTTGTTACAGCCCCTTGGGTGGTCAACTTACAGACAGGTTCTACTGTATCAACATACATTACTTTGAAGTTCTTAAGGTGTTTAACATATTATGCCCAATTAAAATATAAAATAAAATATCTCTACCAGGGCATGGTGATTCATGCCTGTACTCTCAGCTACTCAGGAGGCTGAGGCAGAAGGATTGCTTGAATGCAAAATTCAAGACCAGCCTGGGCAACAACAAGACCTGTCTGAAAAAAAAAAAAAAAAAAATTTTATTTGCCAGGCATACTAGCACATTCCTGTAGTCCCAGCTTCTCAGGAGACTGAGGTGGGAGAATGACTTGCACCCAGGAGTTCAAGGCTACAGTGAGCCATGATCATTACCACTGCACTCCAGCCTGGGCCACAGAGCAAAGACTTTGTCTCTAGAAGAAAAAGAAAAAGAAAATCTCAATAACACACTGAAAAGAAGTATTAACATGAAAAGCTAAAACTTCTTTAGCTTTTTGGGAAATCTAAAGCTCCAGGTGCTTACCTAAAAGAAATACTACATTACGATATTATCTAAAGTAACAGGTGGCAAATAAGAGCTGTAATAGGATTCTATCGAAAGTCACAACACACTCCTAATGCTGGTCATAACTTGTGATGAAAAATGTGCAAAAATCACTTAGTGCTCACTATTTCCAGAGAAGCACACGGACATCCAACATGTTTGCCTTTTACCAGGGTTGGGGCTCCCATGCCATCAGCCCTTTATGAAGGTTCTATCGTACAAAGAACACAACACTAAATAGAGGAAACAATAGGATAATAAGACTTTATAGAAGATGCTGGCAAATCCCTGACAGGAATAGAAATCCAAGGAAATCACAGTAGAGGTTTTTTGCTAAATAGGAGAATAAGTCAATTCAGAAGGTCATACACAGGGGAAGAGCTTCTTTTACAAAAGGATAAAAATGTTCTAAAATTCAGTTGTGGTGATAGTTGGGGAGCCCTGTGAGA